TGCATGACTTTCTGGTTCGCACGGAGCGGTAAATGGTTACCCTTCACGCGAAACAGCGCAAGCGATTTAGTCGCACAACAACTCACCCCAAGGCCAACAACTGTTCATACGTTTGAGAGTTTCTTACGGAAAAGAATAAACAAATATGTCAGAATGCCGCTTCACAAAACACACTGCTGCCGACATTAATAGTGCACAAGTGAGTTGAAATTACCCTTGGAAGGAAAACTGTTCATACGGGAAACTAGGCAAACTCCTGCTTGGGCTTTAGCTCATCCTCGTGGTAAACAAGGAATTCATCGTGAATTCTTGATGAACACGTCGTCATGAACGAACAAAAACAAATACTGAAAAGGGCATTCGCAATCGTTGCACACAGATTGAGTATCAGTATGTGGCGACGAACTCTAGTGGAAACACATAAATATATTGGTCAGGGAATGACTGTGCTGATCACTCACGAAGTGAGGAATTCGGAACTCCATTTTGTCATATATTTGTTCTCAGAAACAACAATCTACTTCTGTTCCCCTCCCGAAAGGATGTGTTCCCTGACCATAAGACATTGAGAGGGAAGAGAACGTGAGAATCCAACTAACTGAATGGCGTATTTTGCAGCTGGGGTTAGTTAGATAAATAAAAAAACTTGTTCACTGTTGCTCCAAAGCCAGAGTTGTCCGTAAAAGAAGGGTGAACCCACAATGAAAACTATTCATGCGGGTTTTACTCTATGACTTCGGGTTATAAGACTGAGGAATAGCGAACAGCAAGATGAACAAACACCGCAGCTCTGATGGTGAGATAATGTAGGGTCACACTTCGGAGCACAATGTACGCAATACGATGTTCAGATGCCAGAAAATCAGCCTGTGTACCTCCTTACAAATGACACATTATAGATATCCCTCACTAGCACAGACGTGCATGTGAAATATCTCCAGGCTTATTTCAGTTGCCGCTGAAGTGCACTTAAGTCGGCGGAAGAAAATAAGAGAATAGCTTCGGCTAAGACAAATCAATTGTTTGCTCCGAAACCTGCCTTGTTGCGCAAAGAGGATTTCGGCACTTTTATCTCTTCCTGACTACTCATGTCATGTTAAGTAGCTTTGTTGCATTAACCTCGATAAAATGTCACTATTCATCAAAGGCAGATGTTCAAAAGACTCGTATTTAAATAAATGGCTTGTGCGTGTAGAAAAAACGTTCTCACACAAGAATATTGTTGAACGTAGCACTGGTGACGGGTTGTTACTCTCTACAGATACCAAACGATGTAAGTGTGCAGTCAACAGTGTTTTTTCCAGGATGGGATCCACCTGGGTCCACAGCTGGAGACACTGAACGATACGGTGGCTAACCGATTTATCCGGCTTTCATTCGGTCAATTTATATGCACGCTATCTGACTTAGTGTCGAATGTTTGTAGGCACCTCGGATATTTGTGGTAGCAAGCCCTAATTTTTTTATAATGAGGCTTTATTCAAGTGACGCAAAAGGGTTGCGTGGCAGTGAATCACCAGTGTTCTTACCTGGTGTTGCCATGAATGATTCAACTTGTGTGAGGTTCATGGGCGCTGGCGCTAGTCGCTTAAATAAAGCGCTTCATCCGGTGGAGATTGTAGTACTGGACCGAAGTGGTCAATCTGCAGATTTGTGGCATATGTGTGTCGTACTGTCAGCAGTTATTCAGCTTCTAAAGTCTCAGGTTTTACTGACATATTCGGAAGCAAGTTTGTTGGGTACGAATCAAGAATCAGCTATTTTCTACACTTTCGATTGTAAAAGAGACATCTAAAACCGGATGCTCAGTTGACATAGTATTTGCCAGACTAAGGACCGGTACACAGTTACTGTCATGCCACTGGGCAGCTTTAGCAAGCGTGAAACACGAACCCCAAGGAAGGAATATTTGATTGGCGGGTTATCGAGATTTTCCCTGCTGGACAGAATTTCTTTTCTGATTCACCGAGGGATTCCTGGCCATATTTTGTGATTCTTTCTGTTCCGAACGACTTGCAATTATGTGGCCTTTTCTGCCGAAATATCTTTTTTCCTCAGAACATTTCTGTGGGGAAAACGTGATAAGGGTCGATTTTTGTGCGGCCCGATAATTGTGGGTGTGAATTTCTACTCGAACAACTTTCAGACGCCGTTGTCATCATCATCGGCAGCACGACATCAGTGTTAAACACCGAAGTTTCACTGCGTTAAATACGAATCACCTGGAAAATTCGGCCTAAATTTATTTGTTAGGGTACCTGTAGGCAGGAACCAATTTGAAAAAGAATATATGTAAAGCAAGTCTCCTTCCTACATTAGGATAACTCAAACTTCGGAGTTGAAACAGCTCCCGTTACAACTCAGAAATGTAACGACTACCCTCCTGTCTACTTACCGCTGGAATTAATTTTATTAGTACATCCACGTAGACTGTCTATTTTCTTGTTTACCCGACAACCACGAGCATCACCTAAAATTTCATCAGCAACTTCTCTCCTTCGCTAAGGGGAGAGTATTTGTAGAGGTCACTCATTAGATCATGCGTCACAAACACTCAAACCACGTGGCAATTCCTGTCCCACTTGTAACCTTAGCCAACAACGTGTACACTACAACTTCTCAGCCATTTTCGTTTACGCGGCTACCACGTGCCTCACGCGCCAGGATTATGAACTTCATTCAATACATCAGGTCAAGTTGTATTCATGTTCGTGCAAGTATCAAACACGAAGGGTCACCCATCTCTTCACAATACACACAATAAATGAGCATGCAACTAGGCTCAACACACACAGACTCGCGCGCCCGCAGGGAGCAAGTCCACAAACAATTATGGAACGCGTGTAGCAGCTCACCCGCGGGGAAAACACGTTCCCACCGTCCGGACTTTCACCAAGGAACTCTCAAAGACGTTAAGTTCTTCTTTTGGCTTGCTCCCAGTTCGCATTACATTTATCTTTATACATGTTGCAACCCGCCACCGCCAACCATAGTAAAGATTTTTATTAGTGCATATACCTTCTGAACTGTATTATGTCCATCATCAACAGTGCATTTACAGATACGGCTCAACCAAACGGCACGCCAGATGACATGGGCTGTCAATGAAACGAACTGTTGTAATGACGCTAGATTACCACTGAGACATTTAGGCCGTCATTTCTTGCAAGTTAGTGACATAGCCTCCAAATTATTCTGTTTCAATGCTCTTTGATGTCTACCTAAGCTGTGCAGTAGTCCAATAACAAGATCAAGGCTTTTCCCTCAAAGGCTTGCCGATCTCATGAGAGGCCCACACTGAGCTAAATTGTTTAGGGTCGCTTAGAGACTGAGAACTAGTCATTCAAAGACAAAGTTGCGTCAGATTCGCCGTAACTTCATTATTAACACCAAGGGAAACGATGGATAATTCGCCAAAAAATCTAGCCGAAAGCTGGTTGTTTTTTGCTTGCCGGATGACGTAGATCTTCGCCAATTCCCCCAAACCAAGTCGGGCAGATTTAAGGCAGAGTTCAAATTCACTTGTTGGAGAAAAAAATTTCGTGTCTGTCTATTCATGCTTCTGAGAAATGTGGCACTTTCTGTTAATAAAAGGTCCTTGTGTGCCTTGCGCCTGAATTCGAAGATGTCGAAGGACACTGCAAATTGCTGGACTCCGTTTTTTTGAGGCAAATCTACCGAGTTTACTATGGCCTCCAGTAGGACAGATGGTTGCAAACGAACCCTCCCAAAGATTCAGCAAGATCTAGTGAAGACTTCAAATGGACCAACATTGTATCTATGGTTTTAATGCTCATTCGATGAGCCCCATTTCCTCGTTACATTGATGAAAATAATGCGATGAAATATCGTATGTTGCATTTGTCAACTTGGAGTCTTTTTGCTCACGCCAGTGACCGGGGGCAATTTACAACTTGGGATCTATTTGTTTACCACGCCATCTTTTGTACATCGGTAGACTTGGACACCGCCAACATAACTGTCGCCGAACTACCTGACAGATACGGCAAACCAAATGGGTCGCTGGAAAAAGAAGACCTCTGCGAACTGCTCAGCCTGTGCCTGACCACATATTTTGAGTTCAACAGCGACTATTACGAACGATGACGAGGAACACCGATGGGATCCCCGATTTCTGGATTCATTGCAGAAGTTGTAATGCAAGAACTGAAAGAACTTTCGGACATAAACTCCAAGACGGCGTTCAATGAAGTCTTACACAGTCCTTCTTGTGGCTTTACTTTTACCCAAAAAATCAGGCTTGGGTTTTCAAAGACACTCAGTTGAAGGCAAAGTGTGTGTTGATGGAGGAAAGCGATTCGAATGTTTCATTTTGTCTTAATGTCTTTGCTTACTGTTTGTCTGACTGAGGTGCCACAAAGTAACGTTCGGTTCGGCTTGAAATTACTTCGCTTAGCAGGGTATTATTTGAACCTTAAAAACAGTGAGGGTTAACTTCTAGATTACTAAGATAGCACCCTTCGTTGCCGATGCGGTGTTATCCATCCAAGGTGGCGAAAACGATCCTTAATGTGCCATTCTGATGTCTATAAGCATCTAATTTCTACTCGGCTGTGACTGAGAAACCTTACTGTTATGTTACTATTGACTATTGGGTTAAAAATGCTGTCAGTGCTTCACTGCCTTGATATTTGAAAAGAATCGACATCAAGACGGGAAAACTAGGATTCTTTGAACGATGGCACGATCGCTCGAAGCAAATCCCTCTGCTGAGAGTCGTGGGTATTATCTGACCCTGTTCGAGGTTAGTTGATCTTTGGAAACAAAAAAATTTGCTCTCTCGTCTGGTAGATGTGTCACATTTTATGCCGAATTCAGCGGCGATCCTGTCTTGATTGGGTTTCTAATTTCACACAATTCTGGTAGTAAATTTGGTAGACTGGTAGTTTGTTCCCCAGCAGTATCCTACCGGGAGGTGGATTTGGTGTAATATTCAGAACGTCACCGTAACGTCAAGAAAAAACCTATGCAACTTACCCAAGAATGCCACAATCTCATCATCTTGCACGACTTCCAGAGAACCCGACACCACAAAGCACAGCTGATCAATACTTTCACCCTGATGAAAGATCAGATCTCCTGGGGCCGTGTGTATTGTACTAAACTTCACAGCCAGGGCTCGCAGACAACCATCGCTTGCCAGTCGGAATGCAGGATGTTCGTTGAAGACCATTCGGTTCAGGTGTATACAAAGATCGGCTTTCATATCTTTCGGACAGTAGTTTAGCACCTGTAGAATAAGAGACACGGAATAACAAAGGTAAACGGGGTCAGAACACATGCTTCGCCAATGTGTCCTGGCATCCAATATGCCAAGACATTGAATAGCGAATGTAGCCAACCAACTATTTCTGCACAGGCTGTAGATCAGAATATACCCATCTTCAACAGTTTGAACGTGAACGAATACGACCGAGCGGGAGAACTTACCTTCGCTGTATCAATCCCTTTGGTGATTGCCCATGTCGAGGTCACATAATCGATCACTCTCTCGGCCAAATCTTTCGGCACACTGTGTGTTTTGATGAAATCCTTTACCGAACCCATCATATCGTGATATCGCGATCGGGTTGCATACATGCCTTGAAATATCGTGGTCACATTACCAAAAATGGTTGCGTAACCAAAAGCTGTCAAAAAGGGCGAGACATAATGAGCAGAGGTAACCACAAAGTGACTTTTAGTATTGGTTCTACTGCAAACGAAGCACTTATCGCCTAATGACACGAGAATCCTGAAAAATAACCATGCTTGGAACGAAAACAGAGTGTGCGGCCTCAGTATCAGTTTGCATAGACGTCTAATCTGTGTATCGATTTTCACGTGTTTTATTGTCATACCTGAGCAGAAGTGCAAGACCGCGAAACCCTAACGTACGTGAAAAACGACTTACCGCCTATGAGCATGAAGACAACGGATACCAACTTTTCCCCAAATGTTGTGGCTGACACATTGCCAAATCCGATACTCGTGATCAAGGACAGTGTAAAGTACAATGAGGTCACATAGGTCATGGTGCGGGGAATCGGAATATTCTGTCGAGAAGTGGAGCGGTGGGGAGAAATTTTGCAGAGAATTAGGTTTGTACTTTGCAAAGAAGTAGATGTGTTAGCTGAAAATGCGTAACCAAATAACTTCTTGTTCGAACAACTCGGTATTTGAACAAAATTATTCAGACACATTGAAGTAACAGGGCTGCCAGGTAGCCTAAACATGTAGACAAACGGAAAGTCAGTTGTGATTCTTAGACAAGTTCTAATCAATCGAATTCTCATCTGAGTCTGTATTGAGCTGTTTCATTGTCTTATGTAGGAGCAGACAACTCACTGGGAGTTTTATCCTGCTAGGCGTCTACTGGTTTTGCCGGCCGACAAACGTTGAATAAACTTTTAGATGTTTAGATTGGTTTGCCCACATATTCTCACGACCTTGTGCAGCGTTTAGAGTTTGAATTTCAGATCGATCTTACCCCATTTGCAAGGCTCTCACAGTAAGTGAAAGATGAGTACTTCAGCATCAAACCAGCATTTTTGACCCAGAGTGTTTCTTATTCCCAGAGAGGAAAATCAACAACTTGCGATGACTTGGTGTCTTCGTTTATTAGAATTCCGTCATATTTGTCGGGAATTTGTTACGAATTTTGTTAGCCTCACCAGCAGCATGCGTCTAAACTGCTTCTCGTCTGGGAGATTTACACAGCGACTCAATCCGCACTGCCGATCGATCGACTACCTCAGCATCCATGCAGTGCTGTTTCAACTACAGGCCGAGGTTGCCATGATAGACTTGTACTTTTACGTTCACATACTTTGCGCATGTACTTTTCTTGCAAGCGCTCGAGGAGCACTTGGGTCCCCCATAATTTACGGCTAGGGTATTTCCCCAACTCATCTAAACGCGCTGATTGGACCGAAGACCGGAAGAGNATTGAACTGCATAAATATAGTCAAGAGACGGTTATGTTCTTGTGAAAAACTTTCGAAGGGAAAATTTTTACTTATCTCTGGTCTAAGCCTTAGGACGGATTGAGTAGCTTTCGATTAATCCAGGCTTCTCAAATAACTAATTGCACTTGTTGGTCCATTCGGCCTTCTGATGTGGCCAATCACTGACCAGATTTCTTTGAAGTAACCTTTCAAGCGAATATTTAATCTTGAATTTATTTACGTCATTCTTTGGAAAATTAAATTCATTTGTTCTTCTTTGCTTGCACGAGAGTTTCTGCTCAAACGGGTGAAAGTTACTTGTCATATTCGGATGTCTGCTAGCCATATAATCTGAGTGTAGTTGGCTGAAATTGTGTTCGAATAAAGAGAGTCAGAACATACAAGAGTAAACCTGTGTGGTACTGTACAGGAAAGGCACAGTAAACCTCTCTCTCTATCTTGGATGCCTATGTTTTTTTGAATTTATAATCGAGTCACTTGGATAATTCCTAAATGGCATGTTTTGTCCAACAAATGTGGGTAGAAACTAAAGGTAACGTTTTACCAGACGATCTAACACCATGTCGTCTGCCCGAGTTCCCCCAGACAACAACTGCCCTGAGGTGATGCTGTCCAGTTTGCTGTAGCAGACTATCCGTGTGTTGACTGAACTTCCGGCCTGTCCAATACCATTCCCTCATCGTGCAAATCGTCAAGAACACCAAAACCTTGGAACAATCTGGTGAATGATGCGTTTGTTCCCACTTACCCCAGTTGTCCAGTTGGCTGGTTGTGACTTGCTTTGGCCAATATCATTCAGCAGTCGTGGTATCCATCCGTATTGAATACCGTTCTTCAAATCCGTACTACCAACGCTGTACCATACACAGGCTAGCCAGTGAGCAAGCAGTACGAATCCGGCGATCATCAACAATAGACTGGCGGCCATGTATTCAAGATACTGGTCGAGTTTTCTTGTCACTCGTCCAATTCGTAGAAGCCGGACTACTTTGAGTGCGCCGAATAGAGAACTGATGGTGCTCTGTCATTGAGGTGTTGTAGCGAAAAAAAATTAAAACGAATAATGCATTGGGAAGTGAAAGAAAATAAATGAATGCTCGTAAATCAGGAAGATATTTTGTTAGAATTTCTTGACTCCAGCACATCAGCTGTTATTTGAACGTTTCTATCTTTGGCGAGATACACTCAGTTGCAAGCAAATTTGATTTTACAAAAGACTCACATAAAACCCAGCTAAATATTTTGTTTATGATGCTTCCAAGCAACTGAATGTGCTGCACACAGGTCGCCTCATGTTTTAGTTGGTACGATAATCGGGATGTCGCGATACATGTGGCGAACTACTCATAAGGTTGCTGAAAACTCTTCGACAGCTCACGACCGATTTCGCCCTTCTTGGGGCTCATCAGGTAGGCGCATTCCCCGAGTTTCCGTCAACCCTATGTTCTATTTGAACCCAAATTGCACTGTTTTCGAGAAAAACAATCATTTGCAAATCCATTTGGTTTTCACGAGAGACAAATGGCCTGTCGTTTAGTGTATTCTACAACTGAATATGCTGCACACAGGCCGCCTCATGATTCAGTTGGCACGATATTTGAGATACCGCAGTATATTTTCATAAAGGAAACTGCTCACAGGGTTCAGATAGGACCAAAGTTTGACGTAGACTCGAGGAATGCGCCTACCTGATGAGCTCCAAGAAGGGCGAATCCGGTCGTGGCTGTCGACGAATTTTCAGCGGCCTTATGAGTAGTGCATTATACATGTTTCCATCTTTGCTTTAAAGTTTCCTCACTTAATGTCCAACAAGCGTTTGGTTAAGCATTGAAGCGCACTGACACTGAAGGTCACTAAGCTAGCGTTTTTTCGAAAAGAAAAAGAGGACTTGAAAACAGTCCAAGACAGGGATGGCCAAAATGGTCTGCTGAATTCGTGTTATCTACCTCGAAGTGGATGGAAACTGGCTACCGGATTTGTCCGGCTCCATTGAGATTAAAGTACTCCCCAATGAGCTCAACTGGCTGTCGAATGAATGAACGAAATTTTACGAGTCCCAGAAATAACACTGGCGGCCTCTGGTTCGAAAAGTTAAAGCTAGTCACTTTGATTATCCGTGTGAGCGGTCCACCTGTTTACTGAGCCCGCCTCGAGTAGTATTTTGTACCAACGAGTCGTGTTTGGTCCGTAGCTGTTCAGCGAAGCATAAACTGCCACTTGGGGAACCAAGTTCAGCAAAAAAATGAGTGAAAAAAAGTTAGCCCACCCGTGATTGCAAAGTGGAAAGTGAGCATACTCGTTCGACTGTTGTTCGCCATTTATTGCCGTATGGAGCTGCATCCGTCTTATCTACGTAACTAGATCCGTACCCTTGAGAGGAACAAAAATTACGCATTCCATCTGACGTTGAAAGTGAAAATCGACTGTGCGGACCTTTAACATTGTCGTGTTGAATTATAGTAACCGTGTCTTCTTGGTAAAGGTCGGTTGAGAACGCAACTCCGTTGCTCTCTGGCCGACAGACCATCACCACAGATATCCGTATCTTCATGCCTCTAAAAGCATTCGGCAAATTTAATCCTTGAAACGATCAAGACGGTCCTATGGCCTTTTCATCATCAGCTACAGGACTGTTTTGTGTCCACTAATCGATAAAGTGTCTTCTTGGTAAAGGTCGGTTGAGAACACAACTCTGTTGCTCTCTGGCCGACAGACCACCACCATGCCACTAAAAGCATTCGGCAAATTTAATGCTTGAAGCGATCAAGACGGTCCTATGGCCTTTGCATCGTCAGCTACAGGACTGTTTTACGTCCACTAATCGATAAATAAAACAAAATGTCAGTTACTCGAACCAGATGAAAGAAGAACTGGGTGTGACTGCTTGAGTCACCTTCGAATGGCGAAAGAAAATCTTCCAGTCGATGGAGTTCAATCAGGGAATTCGGGAATTAGAAGATCTACCAGAATTTAGTGATAGCAACGTCTTTCTAGCATGAATGAATGCAGACGTTTGCGCCGTATTTGACAAAAAGGAAAATAACAAAACCGTACTGAGAGTGAACAGATAAGGGACTTAATCAGGAAGGTTCGACCGTGAAGGGAGATTCAAGCTAGAAAAGAAGTCCAGTAAGCCTTGAAAGTAAACTTGAGTAGAACTGACCCGTGCCGAAGGGTATGTATCAGAAACGGATCGGCCTAACTTTTACGGGCCATTGCACAAACACGTACGACCTGCTGAAACTGGCGCTCCCTTCCATACCCGATTCAGATAGAATCCGACAAGTAAAAAAGAGAGTGGAGAACGTTTGGCCCCTCTTAACCTTGTAGGATGGGGTACACATGGCCTTTCCTTGGTTGGATGGAGACACCAAACGATGTGGTGACTAAGCGATGTCAGTTGCATCCATGTTGCCAGTTTCTCTTCAGGTCTGACCACGTGTTGCAGGTGTAGGCATCTCGGATGTAGGCCAGCGCGGGCCACTCTCCACGTGTCATCATTCTTCCTTCCAGTGTTAGGATCTATTCAAATAGATCAACATGGTTCGATGGCAGTGAAACACCCATGTTTTTGGCTGATGGCGTTGCTGTCGAGGATGATGATTTTGACCACGTACTAACTTTCTTCTGTTGGATGTTCCCAGATCGTAAACTGGCTTCTAAAAATTACCTTGTGTGGTCACTATTCGTTGACTTTCATTCAGATAAATCCATGTGAAATCCCACAGGCAGGGATAAAACCCACCGCAGAATGTTTCTTTCCAAACACGAAAGTCTGAACGATGAACTGAGGACAATTTCCCAGGTGATAAAATAGTAAAATCATTTACCGTATAAAATGCTATCCTAAAAATGACTTTCGCGAGAAATTTGAAAAACTTATAAGGGACAATCACTTATGAATGTCTTTTTTCAACCTTTTCTTGCGAAGGGAAAAAGCGCTATTTTGTGCTTGTAGCAATAAAAGTTAATGTCTCAAAAAACGAAACAGACGTTTATGGCAACCCACAGTTGTGTGTCGAAAAGTTGGATTTAAACACGAATTGAGATTGAAAATTTGAGGTTTTTCTCTCAGACCAAAATAGATCCGAAACCCCCCGAAACGTAGCAGGTTTTCATGACCTTTTATCTCCCTGGGATGATTTATTAGCAGTAAAATTATGCGGTCTTGCGCCTAATACAGTCTGATGAAACTGCAAGGTCATCCATTAAAAAATCTTCGCGTGACACCAGTTATTTAAACGAACCTGAATTTAGATGGTCGGTTGTCGGACAACCGCCTCAATCTTGTGCTTGGTGCAGTTTGTATGTTAATCCGACTGTTCGAACAGAGGTCGTCGGCGGCTCTACCCTGGTGAGGATGATGTGAACAGTCTTCAGACTTACCACCCCGCACCCTTAATTCACATTAGATCGAGCACCTGATCTCTGCACGTTTCGCCACATGGGTGGCTTCCTTTGCCTTTCCTTCATAGGGTGATATTAGCGGTCCGTTGAATAGAATATGGCAAAGCATGCAAGAAATCATTGCAAAATGGGTTTTGTTCTTCTGGGGACGAGCACGCGGAGGATGCCCTTGCCGCAGTTTTTCGCTGAACGACATAACTGAGAAACAGTGTCAGATCACCGTACCGAAGAAGGAGATCCCCATTTTTAATAATGAAAACTACTCACAAAGTTACAGGAAACTCTTCAGTCGAGTCTTCCATGAAAGCCAATTGTTATGCAAACGAGTGTACTTGTAGAAATGTTCACCGTATCACTTCGCAACCTAGGAGCCAAATTTGTCAACATGCACATTATGTCACCTTGTGACGTATGTCCAAGCCCTATGATCAAAACCAATTCAGACAGGACAGTGGTAATCTTCGGGAAACGTTTGTACCGTGTTCCCAATATTGGCAACTCAATATATTTTGAGCACTACGAGAACTCAGCGGAGTCTCGATAGAAAGTGGAAATAAGTGGCTATCAGACGACTCTTTCCAGACAGAGGACAGGCAAACCAGCGCTTGGAAACCAGAAATGAGTCACAGAATACCCTTGGAAGAATCGTCAGCACCCATGAATGTAAAACAATGGAAACATTAAAAAAAATAGCCAGGACACGGAAATTTTGATGAGATCAGGAACTGAATCAGTCGGTCTACAGAAGTTGAAGATGGGTACAAAATAGTACCGGCCATCAAGGAAATGTACGGAGATGACGGGCGATGATGCGTTGCTTTGCAATCCGTTGTCCAGATTGTCTATAAATGTCAACTGTAAGACCTAGAATACATGAGTAAGGGATCTTTCATCCAATTGGCTGGCGTCCTGCTATACTGGGACGAATTTCTTCAAAATTCAGCTGCAACATGTTATTCCGAACATCATGTGACATTCGTAACACTAATTCAAGTGAACGACTGGATATTAACGAGGACTATGATTTAAACGTGTAGCCAATGGGCGGACTTTTGAATTCGAAACGAGCACTAATCAGATGAGTGTCAACTAACAGCGATGAATCATATTCACATAACGGTATGTACGACGTACGGTAAACTCTCTTACACACACACACAGACACACACTTACCTGAGTCGCTTCAGGTTGGAAGGCGTTGAATACATCATAAGGCAGACATGAGAGCAGATCCACAAGAAACCAACCCTTCAAATAGTTTATTCGAATAATCGTGGCGTCCGAGATAACTTCGCCGTTCGGACCGACAAATGTCGTGTGAAAATTCAAAACAATGTCAATAAAAAAGATCACATCCACAATACTGTCGACCACCAGGAAGCTGACATCATCCATGGTTTTGCTCTTGAACGCGGCGTTGAATGGGACCATGACAGCGGTGTAGCCGGTCAGCACAAGGATAATCCAGTCCCAAGTAGTCTTGAAGGCCACATAGTGAAGAATTATGTGAGGTGGGGTTTTCGGGGCCTCCTGTTTGTACGGAGGGACCAAGTCCAACCAGGAAGAGGCGTTCTGCAACGAAAAAATCGTCAGGGATGGAGGTGATGAATGGTTCCTCAATATGGACGTTCTGTTTTTCACAAAAGATTCTATCTCATTCGCTAACCTTTGAAAGCAACAGAGCTGTTGAATTCGGAATTTGATGAACTTTGGAATTCATGCGCGTGTTCCTGGAGGCCCCATCGGTAGTACGAATCTTATAAATCAAATCCACTCAAGTTATGGCGTAATAATTTATTGATGATGTGAGTGAACCTCGAAAATGACAGAGTCACGGAGAATTTACCTTCAACGAAGTTCTTCAGATCTGCGGAGAGGTGTCCAAACTTGCCGGTAGGCGCACAGATCTGTGTGAAACCACACCGCGTATCACCTCCACCTGATGAGTTTCTTAAAGGAAAGAAGCTTTTTAATCTGAGCCGGTCTGAACAAGCCAGACCGATGGGTAAGAGAGAAATTTGCCGGGTGTTCCATGTTGATACAATGGTCGCACCTGATGAGTTTCTTAAAGGAAAGAAGCCTTTTAGGCTGAGCCGGTCTGAATAAGCCAGACTGATGGGTAACAGCGAAATTTGCCGGGTGTTCCCTGTTGATACAATGGTCATTGACTGGTCGATTCGAATAAACCAGAAAGTTTATAATTTCAACACCACATGATTTCATTCAGTCTGTTGTAAGCAAGATCAGTACAACTGTTTGGACGAGGAGTACTTTACAAAGCGAAGTTCAAAAGATGCCTATTCAAGCAGAAGCGAATTGGGTGGCATGCTTGACAGCACGAAATTTTGAATAAAAAGCTTCTGGTGGAAGCAAGGCCACTCTGCTAAGCTCGGCCGGAGAAAAAGCGATGTTAATTTATATGCCACAAGTCAATTTTGACCCTTTTTTTTGTAGGACAGCCGAGATAAGATCTACAGTGATGTTACGTTTTTATCTCCGCTTTTCTTTTTTTCGGAATGCTTTAGACTTCAACTGTAGAGGTTATACGCAGCTAGAAGCGTACTTTGCTTATGATTTCTGGCTGCTGAGGAAATCTGAGACAAGACGTTTGGGTTTCTGGGATATTTTCCAATTCACAAACCCTCCAGTTCTGGGCAGTTCGAAACCACTCACTGCTAAAAACAGAGCATTTATGATACCTTGTCCTGATGTTGTCTTCATCCATGTTTCCCTAATGAGTTTGATCGGTAACCGCGTGGGATTTTGCTCTAACACCAGGATGTTGCCCTAATTAAAAACCCGATAGCAATTAGTTCGGTTCAAAACTTCCTGGTGGAATGAGTATCATCTGATAGCAGCCAACGGATGTTCAAGAAAAATTTCTTTTTGTTTTGTTGAATGCGTTTATTGTCAGTCGAATTAAAAACGTCTAGTCAACTCCATCGGGAGGCGTTGAAAGTTGTCTTCAGTTGGGTGCTTCGTCCACTCCTACTTGGCAACGGTGGATACTACTAATGGGGCATGTGAGTAGTATGTTTTCTCGTAAAACTGCTTCGCGTATCTTGGAAAGTGAGATCTATTTGTGGAGTCGCATTCGCTTGCATTTGGGCAACAGTCAATAAATATCCAGGAAAGTTCAGGAAAACGCGTTCAAGGAGAGGATGGGTATTCAGTTTTGTAAACAAGATGCATATGAGTGTTTTGCTTCCCTGTCCACAAGTCTGTAACTGTTCAGTTGGCGTTTTCGAATGAATAACTCAACACCGCAGGCCTTCTTCCTTTTAATTGTATATATATGGTTTCTAAACAATAGTTGATGTGTTCCACGTGAATAGTTGTTTGGGGATGAGCCGACAGCAGTTAATTTGTTCAGTCGCTTTGCCTTAGTTTCTCTCCTGTGACGGATTAGCTGAACTCGAAACTGCCTCGGTGATTACTGCTTTGGATAAGTGGCGTCTTGCTTAATGCATGTGTTTTGAAAATAAGTCCTCCACTAGCCGGAACGAAAATTCAGCTTAATAGGTCAGTATTCACATCGAGGTTCACGCGAGACTGTGCTGATAACAGTTTTGCTATGTCGATAGCAATCTATTCGAAGACCCAGAGCTTGATATCGAACAGCGAAAGGCAGAAGCAGTCTTGTCCTGAATAGCAGGCATATGTGTGAATGCTCTGGTGTCAGTATGACGGCAAAATCTGAACATTATGGGATAACATGTGCGGATAGTAGTTTACTGAACTCAGTTGAAATTTCTGCACATTGTGGACAGATTAAAAGTAAACTAAGCCCTCTAAAATATCGGGGTAATAGAGTCTGCCTCCGGCTGTCTGGCCACTAGATACGGCTCATCCAGAACCACCTAAAGACGGAAATTCCAGCTCGGGACATCAGGAAATTCTCCATAATGATAAAATCCGCATACACTTTGGAAATATTTACCTTCCGTGAAAAGATCTGCCAACCTCGACGATTGTCCGACGCCCCGAGAGCATATGAACTTCCAATATTTGTGAATGCAAAAGGCTCATGAAAATTGTGATTTTATGCTCAATAGGGAGCGAGTAAATCAGCTGTTCAGATGGAAGTTCACTACCACGTCACGTTCAGGCACACCAAAGATGAAACACTAGTCCCTTCTTGTTGTTAGTCCCCGATTTTGTTGCACGGGGTCTACATCGCCAGCAAGAGCCTGTATGGAGTCACGTTTTCGACTTCAGGCAAATCAATTAGGCAGGAGTTTGATTCGTATGCCAGTCAATCAGCTGACTGAGAAGTCACTTCATCGCTGAATTAGTTACGAATACTAAAGGTATAAAAATATCTGTATGCAATGTCGGTTGCCTCACGAAGGATATCGTGAGGATATCGGATATCGAAGGATTCCTGTACATCAGCGGACGTTTCCTGTCAGTGACCAGCCGAATGAAAAATATACAAGAATAAGGTCCGTGATTGGATTGCCTGTGTCCTGACTACATATTGATTACAGCTTGCAAAAAATCACCCCAAATCAGTGGGTTATTCTTTGTAGCAAGAATCATATGTATCCAACAATTAAGCAGATGAATTTTCGATTGATAATGAAACAGAAAATGCATTTGTTCCCAATTCTCGGTGTAGTAGTGACAGTGGCACTGAAAACGATAAAAGTATTCGAAAATTATTCCACACAAGCTTGACGAAACGTTGCTAGGCAGCTAAAACAATGATTGTAACGTGTCAAGCATTTCTCATCCATATTGTTACAATCTAACAGAACGAAATGCCCGGTTGAATAGGCAACAATCGACTGTTATTCGTGTGGCCACACAATCTACTGAAGTCTTTTGGACGCGGCATCATAAAAGTGGTGGGAAATTGTCGAAACTCATGTTACCCACAGTTTGAGTGGAACTCTGAGTTGGTTTATCTTCCGGACGAATCCACAACGTTTTCCCATGGGTGAGATAACGTAAAAACGTACTCAGTGTGGCATCGAAATTCGAACTGGCTAAAGCATGTGGGATAGGGATGTTTTGTCGCATACCTAACTCACAGTAGTGAATGCGATTGCACATTTTTCAATGTTCCTGCCTCAAATGAAGCGCCAGGGGTGGACTCAGAATTGGGCAGTAATTTTGAGGAAATTCTCTAGGTTCCAGACACACTCAGCTTTCAGGAATCTCAAAGAAATGAGGGTTTCGTATTGAGCAGGGTCGTACTTATCGGACATCCATTTGGGGTTGGATTTTGTCGAGATGATTGACATGATTGAATGACCAAAATTAAAAAAAGTGCGCAATTGAGAAATACCTGAGTCTGCACTGTGACTCCATGAACATTATAAAATTATCCCGTCGGAAGCCCAGGATGTACGGGATATCTTGGAAATTGGATGTTTTTTAATATTCTGTTGACAATTAAGATGAATTTATTTCATTTCTCATCGAAATTGCGATTTGGTTGTGAGCTTACAAGTACTTTGGTTGTTATCATTAGTCAGTGTTCCGAATGGTTCACTTATGTAGTTGTTGCCTCTCTTCGGTGTACAGTTTTCTTTTGAGCTGAAAGAAGCCCCACGGATGTCTTTCAACCATTTTTCTCGAGTGCGGAATTCGATGGCTGGATTACAACTTAACTGCTGAGCTTCATCGAACCGTGCTGTGAAGCGCTGCATATTGAGCGGGAGTTGCCCGTCTGGTCAGCACATAGCGGATTTGGGGGTCTCAGTAGATTTCATGCACTCAGTGGTTGCTTGCAGGAATCTGACCTTCCTGATAATTCCCCAACTTCGGAAATCTAGGATATCGTGCCAGGTGAAGCACGAAGCCGTTTTGCAAAATGAATTCCGTTGAAACTTACGATGGACGAAAATTCGGCTGGGATTCGTCTGAGTTTCTTGGTAAAACCAGACCCTTTTCGCAAAGAGTAGCAACATTTTATTGTTGTCTATGTTCGTTAGGTATCGTCAACACTTCACACGTTGTGGGACAACTCGAACCCGTGACTTTGCAGAATGCTACACGATCCAGCGGAGGGTGGCTGGGCAGCAGCGTGACTAATTCAAATTTAGACAGGGTGTGACACCATTAATCCTGCAGTGTCTATTATGAAATCTGACCAGATTTAAGTTGATTTCTGCGGTGGTCACTTTCCAGATTAAAACTAACAGTTGTTCCTGATCTCACTCCAGGCCAGAAGAATTAAAACCGAGAGAACTTTCCTCTGGTGATGACTGGTAGGAGTAGTATTTTTGTTGGATTTTTAAAGAAATCTGATGAAATTCCGTTCATACGTGATTGTCTTTCACGTGTGATGAATCGGATCCATCGAAAACCTTTCAACATTTGTGATTCCTCCACACTGGCGCAAGTTGATAATTCTGCAAATGAGTGTATTTCTCGAAAACGGTCCAATTTGGGTTCAAGTAGAACATAAGGTTGACGGAAATTCTGGGACCGCGCCTACCTGATGAGCCACAAGAAGGCCGAAACCGATCGTGAGCTGTCGAAGAGTTTTCAGCAACCTTATGAGTAGCTCCTTTTATGAAAATTCTGCACACTCTTCGTCAGCCTATTTTTCCTTAGCTATAAGGAACTCATCCACCAAAACTTGAGTAAGAACTACGGACTAGGTTATACCACCGGAAAGATTTTGATTATTGGGAACTTGGGAAGTAGTCTCGT